GGTAATCTCTTTTTACTGAAAATTCAGCCCAAATGGGGGACTTGCAAGGCTCTTCTTAAGGAGAGAAGCTGATGCTGGGCAATTGCTAATGAAATTGTATTTATTTCCAGAAGAACTGCGTAAGTCAGTCCTGTCTCCTTGAACTGAGCAGACCCCTGTCCCTACCGTCCTCCAGGTTGCTCCATTGCAGCCAAGAGTCCCCAAAGCAAAGAGCTGGAAGCCTGAAATTGCAGAAATTGCAAATTAAATTGGACAGTAGAAAAAAATATTAATCAACCCAATGATTTTCTGCTGGAAAGGTTTTGCTGGCAAAACTGCAATGAGGGAGATTCAAAGGGCTTGGCCTGACGTGGCCTTTCAGAAATATCCCTCCTAGTTGGCTGTAAGATGGTCCCTTCCTTTCCTAGGATGTTCTGTGACCTCCTTGCTAATCGGTCATGCCTAGAGACATCTGAACTGTGCCCAGATATTTCCCTGAGCGTATTTGCAGCTCAGCTGGTGGCTGGACCTGCAAAGGGAGGAAGGGGAGGAGGATTAGCAGTGATGGGCAACCCCGGGGTGGGAAGGGGTAAAGTTTATCCCACGGCCTCTGAAGACCACTGCAGCACCCTGCCCTGTGCAGGGGTTAACACCAGGCTGCAGTCCCTGGTGGTAAAGGTTAAACATTACCCCCCCCCCCACGGTCCCCCGTGGCCTCCGTGGTGCTGCAGGTGCAGGATCAAACCCCGCGGCTGCAGCTGCGCAGGAGGCAACCCAGCGGCAACTGCGCCCCATCGGCAGGGTTGTAACAACCACCGTGAGTCGTCACTGTGGGTCCTGTGTGTTCCCTGCAGTATAAAATGGGAAGAAAAGGGTTTCTTTACCCCCATTTTCCCCTCCTGCAGCCCTCCAGGCTTGTGTCCTGCAAGGACGGGGCTGGGTTGGGGTATGGCACTTGGTGTGAGTGGGGTACGTCCATCCTGTCCATCTTCCTTTGCTGTGGCCTGAACCCTCTCACTCACTGCTCACATCAGAGGGGATTTCTCATTAATTGCAACTGATTCCATGTGCTATGAGGGATGCAGTCTGCCATACAGGTGCTGGCAATGGGTCACACTTATTCTATCCATGACCTGAAAATTTTCCATTGACACCACTTTTGGGGGATGTCCACGGTTCTTCATTGTTAGACCTGGGGCATCACAGGAGATGGCATCTACTGAGGAGGCCAATCTGCAGAGGAGAATGGGAACCTGAAGGACACTATAGCATCCATGGGGCACCACGGTGGCATTTCTGAACCAAGATTTGTCTAAACTATTTCTTTTCTTAAAAAAAGTCAAATTATAAATGAAAAAAAAGCCCTCTGCTAGCTAGGTGCAAGGCAGTTTTGACAATGGTTATTCTTTTCCTACAGAAAACAGGAAAGTCTGTGGTCGGGTTTTGTTTGGTTTCTGAGCAAACACACACCAATCTCAGACACTTTCTGGCTTGCTTTGCACAGCAGAGGTATCTCTGTACTCTCAGTTTCTAGTGCATCACACACATCTTTCCAAAAGCTGAAGGAATTGTAGCTGGGGAAGGACAGCCCTGGACCATCCCAGTGCCTGCAGAGCACCAGCACGGGGATGCAGGGAGACCTCCGTGTGTGTGGGTGAGCGGAGATTTTTAAAGCATTTGCTAGTGGGACCTTTGTGAGCTGTTGCCCGCTGCGGCGATGGGATGGCAGCTGAGCAAGGGTGAAAAACCCCTTTTCCTGGCCATCGAGCCCCACGCCCCAGCCCAGTGGGGAAACCTGGGCAGACGATGCTGCTGACTCCACTGCACCACCGGCAGTGCGGCAGGGGTGAGCCTGTGGAGCCAAGGGAGGAGCTGAGCCGTGGCCGATGCTGGGGGACCGGCACAGGCAAAAAGGGTGGAGGTGGAGGGTTCACTGCTGGGCCCCGGGGCAAGGTTGAGGAATGCCCTAATTACAGCACAGTTGTGGAAACTGGAAGCTCTCCACTGCCCTGTAGCCAAAGAAACAGGCTCTGCGTCGGGATGAGACACAGGACACTGTTCCCAAGGGAAAAAAAAACAACCCTGCTGATACTGGTTTAGCTCCTTAGTGGGCATAAATAGGTGTCTTCTGCTGATCTGCATCAGATGAAGATCTGGCCTCCTTAAGCTCCTCAAGCAGATGCAGGTCTGCCAGCAGAGCCCTCCTGCAACGCGGCTGGAAAGCCACCCCTGGGCAAAGTGGGTACCCGGAGAGAAGTGCGGTTTTACACTAGAGACTTGCCTGCACACAGCAGAGTCCCTTGGCACAACTCCCTCGGCCAAGAGCACATAGCTTTCCTCTTCTGGCTGTAGATCTGGGACAGCAGGTAAAACAGCCTGGTGCATAGAGCAGATCTGGATGAATGTCAGACTGGTTCCTCTGAGCATCCCTTCCCTGCACGGACTCATGCCCCTGCCTAATTTCATCACCTTCAGCTTTGTGGACCTGCAGTTTGGTCTGGACTTCGGTGATGAGCTCAGGGTGGCCAAAAATAACTTTTGTAAAGGGAACTCCGGTCTCACAAAGTGACTGGCATTTGCTGAAGGCGTCAATGAGCTTGTGGATAAGGGTCACCTGGTAGATAAGAGTTTTTCTGGATTTCCAGAAGCAAAGACCTTTAGGTCAGCCACGGCTAAGAGGGAAAGTCCAAGTAGAGGTAAATAATCAATTAGCAGATAGGAAACATTGGTGAGATAACAGACTCTGCTGATAATTCTTGTGTATTCGGCATAGCAGAGATGAAGACTGATGACACAGATGTTCAGAAGGATCTTGCAGGACTTGGGGTTTGGAGATAAAATGGCAAGGGATGTTTGGAGGAGTATAAGGTAACACACAGAGGGAAAAATCCAACATGACTTCATATATAAGTTGATGGGCTGTAGGCTGGCCATTGCCTGCTTGGGAGTGATAGCTGGGGATTATGGTGAACATGAAAAAACATGAGGAACATCAAGGAAAACATGAGCTACATGCTCCGTGGCAGCAAAAATCTCAAACCATGAGAGATCAATGCTTTGTGCTGCCAACCAGCTCAGCAGGACCTCATCCAAATTGAAGGAGAGGAGGGAACCTTTCCAGCAGTGGGGAATAGACCTGGGGAACTCCTTGCTGAAGGATGTTTTTTATACTGACAGTTTTCCTGGGTTTGAGGGAAACCGGGCAAATCCATGGAGGAGAAACCCACTGAGGGGTCTTAACTAAAGAGGAAACCACATTCAGCTCAAAAGGTCTCGGAGCTGAAAATAAAGACCAGGGGAGTGTGAAGGGTGAGTGTCATCAAGGCTTGTCCTCTGCCTAATCCCCAGCCACTAAATGCCTGTCTAGAATTTCTTCATCTTAATAATAAGAAGAATCACAAACTGTGAGGTTTTATATTTGTTTGCCATGTAGATCCTAGCTGAGGGTGTTCTTTCACTACGTTCAGTCTAATCCTTTTTAAAATCCTGTTAAGTCCAATGCTTCAGTGATATCCTTTGGCAATGAGTTTTGCAAGTAAAGTGCTCACTGCACATTAATCAGGAAGGTTTATTGCTTTATGGTAGCTTGCTGATGCTGAACTGCTATATATAGCTTGTCAGCAATTAGCAGGATGCTTGCGAGGTTATTTAAGTAATTTTTTTTTCCTTATGCCACAACGCGCTGAATTTTCTGTGTGTATGAAAACACTTAAAAGATAATCGGTTACTGCAAGAAGAAAGGAAAACAGAGAACGAGCCTTACTCAGAGCGGACGGCTCATTTGACATGGCTGTCTTTTAGAAATGGGATTTTAATCAGGAACCTTTGATTAAAATAGTTCCTTTGGTTGCTCAGGTCCCGGGCACACCCCTGTGGGCTGGAGGCATGCGTGGCAAGCCCAGCCTTATAATCAGTCTCTCGGGCTGGCGGAGAGATGGATCTCACCAGGATCAGAGACCGAATTTGTACTCAAGGGGTCCTGGATGACTTTTTCTGTAGGCATCTGCCGTGATAGCTGCCCGGCCACCCTCAGAAGTGGGAGCACTGGGGTCCCAGCCAGGCTGTGCACTGGGGCTGCCCCAGGTAAAAACCAGGCTTGGACCCGGCTCTGCTGTGTCTGGGTGCCCCCGTCACCCCGATAAGATAGTCCCCCCATTGCCTTCACACCTGCCCTTTGAAGGAGAGTGTTGCCCTGTGTGAACGTGCGGCGATGGGGTCTTGAAACCAGCCCAGGGGGGATGAAAGGTTTGATGGACTGGGTCCAGGCATGGGATGAGCCTGGGCACACAGCTCCCCTCTGGCACAGGGCTTCAGCACCCAAAAATTGGACACCTCCATGCTTCAGCCACTTCCTCTGAGACTTCGTGAGTGCTCTCTACTGCAGCAAAGCTCATAACGACAGGGGAGGCCATGATGCCTCAATCCAAGACATCCAGAAAAGGCTGAAGGGAGCAGGGCACCCTCCCATGCTCTTTGGAAAGGGCTGGACTGCACCCAGACGGAGGTGTTTTAATGACTGTTTTGGATCCCTGGGAGCCAGCCTCCTCCCACTCAGCCCAAGGTAATTCACCTCCTCCACCGGTGTTGGAGGAGTTGTTGACTGGTGGAGAGTGGCTGGTAAAACAGGTTCTCTGCAGGGAGTTGTCTCTGAAACCCTGAGAGACCTGGATAGATCGAGCCCCGAGCGCGGGTCTCTGCTCAAACCCTGGCACAGCAGGCAGTGAGGAGTGATTTGCTTTTGCGTGGCACTCCTGGGCAGGGCGTCTTTTGCACGGCGCCGCTAGTAGACAAATTACAGCCTTGCCTCTGTCAAGGTAGATAAGAAACCATGTGATGCAGCGTGGTGGTAAACGGGTTGCAGGCAGGGTAAAGGTGCACAGGGAAATAACCTTGCAGGGAGTTCCTCTCTCCTCGGGGAGCAGAGTCTCCAAGGCAGTGCAGATCCCTGTGGGTCCGACAGCACCTTGGCCTTGATGCCGGCACAAGTTTTGGGGGCTCTCTGAAACGCACAGAAAGCAGGAATGTCTTTTAGCAGAAGGAACTGGTCCGATCTCTCCAGGTAGGTGCTTGTGGTTTAATGCTTAACCCTTTCCACCGGCGGGAGGGAGGGGGTGAGGGTGGGCTGCTGGCATGGCGAGCCTCAGCCAAGGGGTGTTGGGGAGGATGGGAAGAGGGGACAGCCAGCGCGAGGGGTGTTGCTTGCAGAGGTGGTGTCAGCCCCGGCGAGTGCTTGGCACTGCTGGAGTTTCTCATGGGTGGGCAAGATCAGAGGCAGATTTGTTTCTGCTGCCTGGGGAAGCTGAGCACTGCATGGGAAAATGGCTCTGGAAATGCATCCTTGCCCCGTGTTGGATATATTTTTGGTCTGGTTTGCCTTTCTTTGGGGTAGGGTCTGGCTGGCGTGGCTGTGCCTCCAGACTTGCTCCAGAGCCGGCTGTGGGTTTTTTTTCACTTGCCCCGTATCTGTACAGCCCCTGGGTGCATGTCCCGGCTCCACCGTGCGGAGGTTGCAGCCTCTGCCCATCCGGTGCTGAGCAAGCCCTGATTCATCGGCAGTCGCTGAATGATCCCCACAGCCCCGTGGCATTGGCTGCACTGCTCTGTCTTTCCTAAAAAGTGATTTTGTGTCTGATGGGAGCCAGGGCAGGTGAGGCTCCTGGGCATCACGGGGTGAGTCAGGGGCTCACACGAAGCCTGGGTGATGTGGGGATCGCTCCTGACCTCCCACAGACCCTGGGGCAAGCACTGCCGACCTCGGCTACGCAGACGGGGTGAAGGTGACTCAAACACAGCCGCACTCTCCCACAAAAAGGAGAAGAAATCCTAGTTTGAGTGGATGTGATGGCTCCGAGACAATTGCAAACCCCAGTACTTTGGGTAAGACACTCACCATGGCCAGCCCAGAAATGGGAATGAAGAGAGACCCTGCTGCTCAGAGGCTGCCAGCTCACACCCTGCCTCCATCATGGCGGGGACAGATCCAGAGGGCATCCCGGCCCCATCCAGATCCACCTCCTCTGCGCCATGGACCTGCCCGAACGCAAGCCCAGCGGGGTCCTGCAGCCAGGTTGTTTCACAACCCAGGAAGGCAGTTTCTCCTCTCTCATTAGATGAGACAGCATTCACTGAAACAGCATAAATGTCAGATATCTCAGCACTAATGATTAACAGGGCAGGAGAGGACAAGGCAGGGGGAGACTCGCCAAACTTTTTTTATTCATCTCTGAGGTTAAAAAAGGTAAGACGGTGAAAAATAAATCCCTCTTTGAAAAGAGGAGGGGAAGATTGGCAAAGCAAATCCATAGCCTAATGGGTGAATTACTTAATTACAAATAATGAGAAACTGCATGCTAATAATGCCAGGTTACACACTGCCTCTGCAGGAGCCAAGCAAATTCAAGGCAGGAAAATCTCATTTTCATTTCGAAGGAGTCTGTGCATGCAAAAACAAAGAAGTAACTGGGTCTCACGTGGCTTTAAACTGGCTTTAGCACTCCACACTGTCACTGCTTGAGGGACAAGAGTGCTTAGCAGAAGCACCTGCGCGCGTATGTCCCCATACACGTGCTAACCTTGCTGGGTGGGAATGCGTGTGTGTGCAGTGATTGCTGCAGCACGTCTTGCCAGGAGATCACACTGTGCTGTGCAAATAAAGCCGTGCTGCCTTCCCAGTGCAGCTAAGCTGTGTGCAAATATTTACAGGGTCAGGCCCACGGAGGGGAGTACAGCCGCAAGGAGCTGAACGGGGAGGTGTCCCCTGGCGGGGTGAGAGCTGGCCAGGGATGCTTATGGCTCCCTGGGGCAGGTCCCAGCCTTCTCCATCCCTGCCTCTGCCGATGCCAAGCATGGCATCAGGGACCACCCTGGAGCCCCCCAGCAGTGGGTCCGATTGCTGTTGAGGTGTGAAGGCTGCTGGGGGGAGCAGGGGGCGATGGGGATGGATGCAGCGGGAGGAAAGGGCAGCACACATTGCCCTGTCCCCAGACAAGTGCTGAGCTCTCAGCCAGGACCTGTCCCCTCTTTGCTCTCCGTTCTGCTCTGCTGACCCTTTCGCACTCCCTTGCCTCCCTTGACCAGGAAGAACAGAAGCCGCGAATATTTGCGGGGGGTAATGTGGTTTAATTTATGACCCAGCTTTCATTACACAGTAACTCGTAAACCGCACTGCGAGTCACCGTGTCCGCAACGACATTAGCGATACCGCAGGCCTGGACCTGCTCTGACTTTCACGTTCCTAAAAGTCAAATTCAAAGTAAACCCTGAGTCTGGATGAAACTGGGGTGCCAGCTCCAGCGCTGGGACACTGCGATGGGATGGATCCTGTGCAGGGAGAGCTCTGTCCGGTCGGGCTGTTGGGGGTGCGGGGAGCTCTGCTGGGACCCCTGCATGTGTTTGCAGCTGATTGATGACTAGTGCTGTAGGCAGATGAACATTGTTGTGAAAAGCTCAATCCAGCCAGTAAAAATATTTTCCAACACAGTTCATGCACCGGCAGAGAGGGTGGGCAGGTTTTGCACAGAGAAGGGAAAGCTGGTGCTGTCCAAACGACTTTTTATTCAGGTCGGTATTTTATCAAAAAAAAAAAAAATTTCCTTGGCTTGTGCAATATAAAATCTTTGAAGATGACTCTTTAAAGATGATTACGAACCTTGTCTTTTTGGTTCAATCTGTGATTACAAACAATTCCCAGGCCCAGCCACATGCAGGGAGTAAGAGGAACTCCTGCCATCCCTGTCTCCAGGCAGAGCTTGTCAGCAGTACCTTCAGCCTCTGACGCTTTTGCATCTGAGGCTTTTTGCTCGATAAAAATTAAAATGCCGTTGCCACAACTTGCACTGGGGCTAAAATCTTCTGTCACTAGTGGACAGTTTATGTGGTTGAGATCTATGTGGTGACTCTAGGGTCCTGGTCTTGCTGAGTTACAGGTTAAATATCCTTGCCCGGGAAGGTTTGCGTAATGTAGGGATTCCTTTTAAATGAGTGCTCCCTCCAACAGAAGAAATTAGGAGTTGTAAAGTCAAGTGCTTGTGTTGGGAAATGCCTGCATCAGCTGGGTGGAGTGAGAGCACTTTGTGACACCTGGCTCGCGTTGGAGTCCCTCTCCTCCAGCCCCACGCAGCAGCTGGGGAAGACAACCTCTGTCAGTCCCTCATCCCTTGCCCGAGGGTGTTTTGGTCTCCTTTCTTGTCTGGCATCAGGGCTGCAAGCTCCCTGTGCAGGGCACAGCCTCACCATGATGTTATGTTTCATCCCAAACAGCCTGGCCAGGCAGAGGACCCTTGAGGATGAAGAAGAACAGCAAAGAGAGCGCCGGCGAAGGCACCGGAGCCTGCTGTCCTCCACATCGATGGATGAAGAGCCTCCTAGCCCTGTGAAAGACACCAGTCCAGCTTCCAGCAGGTGCGTGAGGTCCTGCTAGCATCAGTCTTACTCATGATGCTGATAGCTTGCAGCTCGCTGCCTTGTTCTTCTTAACCCTGAGCCAAAGCTGCTGCAGTTGGTGTGAGTCTCTTCTGGATGAGAGTGGGCTGAGCTGTGGGAAGAGCAGGGGTCCAATGGGCTCTTGGGCAGAAGGATGGGCTTCACAGGAGGAGTAGAAGAAGAGGGGTATATCTCTGGTGGGTTCAATCATGGGCCTCAGCATGTCCCATGGCACAGGGAGCCGGTGTGCCAGGGTGAGGGTCGGTGCCAAGGTTGAGCTCGGGTGGGTGCTGGCCATGCCCTAGTGGCATCTTGAGCAGGTAAGAGCAGAGAGACACTCATCTCTGCCGGGAAGGTGGGCTGAGCATGCAGCACCTGGCTGGCTGTCCTCCTGCTCCTATGAACATTGCAGTGACATTGTATGATCTGTGCTGAAGTGGGGAGGTGACCCAAGGGCTTTCCAGTGGTGCTCCCAAAGTCCCTTGCTGCAGGGAGCTGGGATTTGGACATGCCCTGAAATCACACTGCCCTTACACAACCTGACCCACTCTCTAAATTGGTCCTGGAAATGTCCAATATTTAGATGTTTTATGTCCACAGTGAGACTCATGCTCTGTAGGTGTTTCTCTCTGCAGACGTGATGGTGTCAGGATACCTGGGTTGCATATGGGTTGAATAGGGGTTGGACATGGCTAACATGAACAAGCTAGACAGGACATGTCCCCCTTCCCTGGTGCTAGCACAGGCCGGCCATGTGGTGATTGCAGTTCAGGAGGAGGGCAAATACTATCCCATATCCTTTCCAAGCCCTGGAGACTGTGTAGTTACAGTCTGTGTGGCCCTGGACAAATGTCCTATCTGCCTCTTCCCAAATCTGGTGCCTATGTTTCCCTGTGAGAAGGAGGGGAAAATGACTGTTTTGCAGAAGGTGTTGGGACTGTGGTTGAACCCTGCCATAGCAGATTGTCTTACGACCAACACTTTAAACCTAAAGATAGTGGTATTTTTTTCCTAATCCACCAAAGAGCCACAGACGCACGTCTCATCCAGCAGCAGACCCAGCACGCTGCTCTGAGCCCACAGCTCCTTGGCACAGGACTTGGTGGATGCTGATGTCCTGGGATGAGGCTGCAGAAATGCTTAATCTCTGCCACAAAAAGGAAAAAAAAGACTTTTAATCCAAACTTGTCCTCTGAGAGCCTAGCTGGGATGACGGGGATGAGTGTGGCTGCAAGTCCTGGTCTACAGGGATGACTCCAGAGACATTGGTGGGATTTTTATGCCCCCCAGAGTCTTTCACCTGGGTTAACCTCACCTGCAGCATAAAAGCCAGCCCTCTGGCCCCGGGGTGCTGAGGTTTGCCCCTTGTTTTGTCTCTGTCTCTAGACCTCAATCTCTGGTGAAGCCGGTGTCTCTGGAGGATGAGGAAGAGCGTAAGCTCTCGGAGGTGCTGAAGACGCAAGAAGGGAGACGGATAAGGTCCCCAATGGCCATCTCTGAAAAGCTGAGGCAGGATAAGGAGCAGCAGGAGCCAGGGGTGGGAGCGAGCCACGTGGAGGCAGGGACGCAGCCACGCATGGGGCAGGAGAGCATCCAGGCTGGAGAGCAGGGTCAGGATGCAGCCAAGGGCGGAGGGGACCCACCAGGAGACCAGCACCCAGAGCCGGCCTCGGAGAGGAAGGCGGTGGTGAGGGGACGTCTCCAGGACAAAGAGGGACAAGGTGTGGGGATGCCTCGGGGGGAGCAGAGGAAGGAGGTGGGGGAGCCACAGCAGCGGGCATCGCCAGAGCTGGGGGGCTGCCGGCTCCGCGAAGTGAAGATCCTGACCAGGCAGGGAAGCCGCAGCACGGAGGAGAAGACAGCCTCGGTGGTGACCTCATCTCTGGACCAGCAGGTGAGCAGGAATGGACAAGGCACTGACCCTTGGGGTGTGAAGTCCTGGGTACTGGGAGGACAACAGAGAGATGGAGAGCCCAAAAGTACCAGGAGGGAAATGGGACCCGTGGGCTTTTGGGGAAGGTTTTTCTGAGAGCTGCAAACCACGAGGTGGTGGACAGGGTCCCACCACCTCCTTTCCCTCCCTTGCATGTACTATTCTGATCACCTTCTCCGGCAAGCCCCTACTGATTGCCATCATGGTTTCACTGAAGAGGTGTCCGGGGCTTTGTGTATCTGAGTGAGACAGTCAAGGTTTGGAGGATTTCGATCTCAAACTCCTGCCTCCAAACCAGTTCCCACCCTAGCTGCTCTCCTCCCTGCACCTCAACCTTCTCTGCAGACTCTGCAGGGATGCATCAGAGGTCTGCTTTTTTCTCAGCAACCATCCAGGAATCCCTCAAAGGAGGTAATGCAGGTGTCTCCCACCCAAGATGAAGCTGTAGAAAAGTCAGATACTTCTCCAACTCATGTCACCTACAGCAGCTCCATCAGACGAACCAGCCCAAGAACTGTCTCCTTTCGGGTAAGAGCCAAAGCAAGTGGGAGAAAGACCCCCATTTAGGCAGTGGAGGATGGTGACAGGGAAGGGTTGCTTTGGTCTCCAGGTTATGTTGGCAGAGCCTGTTCCCAAAAGTCTGTTCAAAATCCACCCTTGATCTAGGCATTGCGGTTCTGTTTCAGTCTTTCCTTTGTTTTCCTTCTTCATGTCTGACCGAAGGCCTGTGATGATGAACATGCCCATGTTCATACTCTTTGTGCTGGCATGGAACCTTGTGGGAAGTGATGAGAAAACAGGGAGCTCATTGTCCTCAGATTTCCCCAAGAGTCACAGCAATGACCATCCACCCTCCGGCATTTCTAGTCTTCTCTGAGAGCACAGGATAAAAATAAAATCCATCCTCCTTCTTGTCCCTTGTTACATCCCTGAGAATATCTTCAACTCTAGCCTCCCCCAGAAAAGATCTCTGGAATAAAGTGCTTGGAGAGGCTGGGAAAACCAAGAACTGTTGCAATCCTCCCTGCTGTGATTCAGGGCTGACTGGCTAGGCTTAATTGACTTTCATGGTGCCTGATTGGGAATAAAACTGTTAGCACTACAAACTGTCTTTAGTCTGGAGAGCTTTGAGATATGAGCTAAGCTCTGGTGTGAGTGAAAATGGAGCTTGCTTGAAAATGGGGGAGACGAGTCTGAGACAGTTTCTCCCGTGTTTATCTTTGATAACCAAAGATGGCTCCAGTATCTCCTCTCCTTGTGTCTTCCAGATGATCTCAAGAAAACAGAAAGAAGAAAGCCAAAGCCCTCTCACAAGGAGGTCAGCACCTCTCTTCATGTTACTTTGGTCTTGCTGGGCAGGAATGGTCATCCTTTGTTTTCCAAGGGAGGAGGAGGAGGTGATAGGACCTGGTACCAGCTAGTGAGTGCCCTGGCACAGGTCTGCTGAACATTGGTCCCTGGGGTGCCTGGCTGACCGGGCAGCGATGCTTAGCAGAGGACAGGACAATGTGCAATGTACAGCTTGCATCTGTACAAGATCCCTCCAGCTAGCCCCTGCTGTCTCTTGGTTGATGTAGTTTCTCATCGGTGCTTGTGTCTGCACAGGAGTGGTTAAGTGTTGAGCAGTGCAGCACGACAACAGGGTCCCATCTTTGGAGATATCAAAACCCACTCTACAGGTCCACAAGCAACCTGATCTGCCTTTGGTGGCCAGATCAAGTGATCCTCCACATCTCCATGGCAAGGTTTGGACAGGTGGCTTAAAACCTCTTGAGGAACTGAGGGCTCAGGTCTGACTGCAGGGAGTCAATAGGATGCCCTCTCCCACCTACAGGGCAGGGGAGTGGGGCTTTAAGGGCACCTGGGCTTGCACCTGTGCATACTATAGGCAAACTCATACTGCTGTTGGTGAAGATGCAGTTCAGAGCTGGCAGTGGTGAAGACAGGGTAAACTGAGGAGCTCAGAGCTATTTTTGAATGTACAGTGTGGCCCTAGTAAGGTGATGAAACCCAGCAGGGAATGAGCTGCCTTGGTTCACTTGGCAGACGGATGCAGAAGTGCTTGTGTTGGACGGGGTCTTCACCTGCCAAGTGGAGTCCTCCAGGACCATGGGCTGAGTCCCAGGAGATCCTGAGGGGGCTGTGTTCAACTCTCTCCCCTCTTCTTCACCAGTGCGAGTCTGAGGATCCCGGGTAGCAGCACCACCATTGGGGAGAAGCTGGAAAAGTACACCTCAGCTGTGCAGGTACCGAAAACCCTTGGCATAGCTGGGCTGGCATGGGAGGGATGTGTGGGAAGAGGGAGAGGGGTGGCCTGGAGCTGAACGGGGAAGGGAGAGAGGGACTGGGCTGCACCAAACAACCAGTGCTAATGGGGTTGAAGAGGATGATCCCAGGCAGAAAAAGGGATCAGCCTCAGGGTTTTAGGAGCAGGAGGGGATATCCCTTGGAAAGGGTCATAGGGTTGCTGCATGGTCCTGCTGCGGGGAGCAGCGGAGCAAGCCCATGAGCTGGTGATGGGCAGGGAGGGAGCAGACCCCAATGGACTCGGGACGCAAGCCAGAAGCAGGAATTTGCTTTTTACTGCTTGGGGTGCAGCACTGCCCCTGCTGATGCCCCTTTCTCCTCCCAGCGCTCAGAAGTGGTGAAATCATCCCTGACTATTCAGAAGAGCCTCTTGTCCTCGGAGGGGGTGGCCAGCAAGCGCAACTTCTTTGAGGCAAGCGCTCCCAGCAAGGCTGAGCCACTCGCTATCAGGAAGGTAAGAGCAGGAGCTGGCTTGAGCGAGGACCTTCCAGCGGGGTCCTGTGCCAGGGCAGGCACCAGCCTTTTGGACAAATCTTCCCCTGTTTGGATACCAACGCACTGTCCGGCAGGCTGCTGCCTGGATGCAGTTTGGTGGGAGTTTAGTGCTTGTTGAGCGGTGCCGGGCAGGGCTGGGCTCGGGCACCGGCTGCCACCGAAACTGTGCTCTGGCAGTGTGTGGGTTTGTGCCGATGCGCTGGTGTTTGAGGAGCTGGGATAGAGCCAAGGTGTAGGCTGGTCTCTGCCTGTTGCAGGTTTGCTCAGTCTCCCCATGCCCTGGGGACTGGCCTGGGTTACGTTCGTGCAGTGGGAGAGTTGTTGCTGTAACCTTGGTGTCCCTCTCTGTGCCACAGGACAACCTGAAGATCCCGGGATCAGTGACATCCCGCATTAATCTGTGGATCAGCCGAGCTCAGGAGCCTGCCAAGGAGGAAAAGAGCAAGGTACCAGCTTGTGCCGACACCTCGGGCTAGAGCCCTGAGACCAGGCAGCCTGGTGGGACATGTGCCTGCACCTGGGGTGGTGGGGCTTGAAGGGTTGATGAACCCTTGGCTGAACCCATTAAAGAGTTTGAGAGGAGCTTAGCAAGGGTCAGAGGTTTGGGTGCTGCAGGGCCGCCACGGGCTCTACTTGTTGCTGTGCCCTGATCCTGATTGCAAAGTGCCGGAGGCAGCTGCTCCCAGCCGGGGGTGAGGAGAGAGCAGGCACCAGCTGGGTGCGTGTCCCAGGAAACATACAGGGGGACCTGACCCTGCCACCATGAGAGAGACCACCCTAGCATGATCTCACCTCTACCAGTGTCTGGAGGACTAGCTCTGACTGGGAGGCCACTGGGAGATGAGCCGTATGCTTGGTCCTTCGGCACTGGGCTCTGTGAGGCTTGGAGACCTGTGTGTGCACTGAGACGTCCTGCTGCATGTGGGGTCTGGAGTGATCTGCATCCCTGTGTGTATCCCAGCCCCCAAAAGTATGGTGTCTTGTAGCTGTTGGGGCAAAGTGCCCAGCTAAGGGGACTCAGAGGCCACCACTTTGCCACCACGGCTGCTCCAGAGACATGAATGTGACGGAGACGGACAGGAGACCCTTTCACCTCAGGGTAGTTTACTGTATTTGGAAAGGAGAGGTTCAGCAAGTCCTGGGGAGGTATCACTGTTTCAGCAATAAGGTGTTTTGCCACTGCTCGTAGCAGAGTTTCCTGCAGCCGCCTGTGTACAGGACCAGGAGGGGCAGCTCCAGCCCAGCCCTGCAGCCCAGGCAGGCAAGCCCGGGCACCCCCAGCGCTGAGCTGCAGAGATTAGTTCTGCCCAAACGTGTCTGTACCAGGAGGCTGTGCTGGCTCTGTGTCTGCCAGGAAAGGGTTTGCTCCTGGGGTCACTCTTGGGTAAAGCTTGCAGCTCCTTTATCGGTTTTTCCTATAATAACGCCTGCTGCCATCAATCTCTGTGGGCTGGAGCTGCACTTGGTCTTGAGGGTCTCCCAGGTGCAGGATCTCAAAGCAGACTGGTTTTACCTGGAGCATGTATGCTTCAAGGTTTGGTTAAAGTCAGACCAAGGCAACAGTGCACATGATGCGTGGGGAAAACCTTCTTGTGCCACTTACGACTCTCCTGTTTCCAGGACATCAGGAAAATAAACAGCCTGCCAAACCGTGATGTCTGGGTAAAGCAGCCTGGAGACACCCCTGGAGACACCAAGGTAGACATGGAGCTGCTCTGAAAACTGCTCTGAGCTAGGGGCAGAGCCGGGACCTGCCCGCTAGTGCATCTCCCACAGGGCAGGCACGGGAGAAGCAGCCTATGGGGGGGAGAGGGGTCGTGTGGGACATCCAGGACCCCATGACTTGGGGGAGTCAGCAGGAGGGAACAACTCGGGGCAGCTGTAAGGGTGAGAAGGGGCCTGGTCTGGGAGAGGAAAGGAAGTGGCACGTGGTGGGATTTAGGGGATGCCCGCCTGCCCCATCCCCTGTTCGGGATGAGTATGGTCCTGGTTAAAGTAGCTGCCTTTGAGGGGTTTGCAGCCTCAGGCCCGGCCTTACTGTTTCTCACTTTCTTTTCCAGTTGAAATAATATCAGTTGTAATAATATCAGATGATCTGGGAAAAACTGTTTTGCTCTGAAGATCAAAGCCCAGCCCTACCCAACCGTCCAGCAGCCCACTGCCATGAGAGTCCCCCGCGCCATGTGTGGGTGCACCCCAGGTCTCCAGGGTCCTCTGCTTGTGGGATGAGAAGGAAGAAGGCTGGAAGATTATCCCTGCGCCCCCAGTCCTCACTCACTGCCTGTCCGGGAGTGCCCAGGCCTGGAGGCTCCTTGCAAATGCTGAAGGCAGACTCTTGCCTCGCTTCCCCACAACATTTTGGTGTTTTCCTCCTAATCTCTGCCTGTGCCCCGTAACTTTGCTTGCAAAGGGGATCAATCTATACGTTTCCCTTGCAGCTGGATGATGTCACTGGGGCAAGAAGCTGCCTGGCCAAGGGAGTTTCAGCTGCACGTCCATGGACCGTGTCCATCCCTGCTGCCTGGCTCGTGTGGGGCAGGCAGATGTCACCCCCACCTCCCAGGCTGTCACTGCTGGAGGGACCCAACCAAAGGCAAACAGTGTTTGCAAAGTGCACCAGTGTAGCTTGGAGATGCCTCATGGAGGAAGGGTGGACCTGATGGCCCTGGTGCTTCCCTCCAGCACACAGCTGAGCCAGAGCCAGAGACTTGGCCTTCTCTAATCTGCCCTTACTGTCCCCTGCTCCCTACAAGCAGTGACCCCTTTCACTTAGTGATATGGCAAGGTTGGGCTGGCCACGGCCCTATTTTTGGGGTTGCGTGGATCTGAGCGCCCTGTGCTGGGCCCCTTCTGCAAATGACATTTCCCTCTCACCCTTCCTCCTGAGCCCTTTGCCTGTGGCTATGCAGACCCCTGGTCCGGCACTCTCCAGGCTGCTGAGCCCACCCAGCAGGGAAGCAGGGTGCTCTCTCGAGGCTGGCTTTAGGGTGCCATGAGCAGCCCATAAAATGATGCTCAAATCCTTGTGCCGGGGCCATTCAATGGGCTAGGGCTGTGCCTTGAGCAACCATTGCGGTGTCCAAATTCGGTGTGGGACTCTACTGCTGCCCCGGGATCTGATCTTGCTTGTTGGGCTTTGGAAAGGACTTGGTTTTCTCTGTGCCTTTTTTTTTTTCTAATAAAAGTTGCTCTTTCTAAGGTGGTCCTGGTCACTTGCTCCTGGGCTGGGACCGGGAACGGTTTACTTCCCTTCTTCTGGCAAGAGGAAAAAAGGCAAAAACCTGAGACAAACATGTTCTGCGGGGGGTAAAAGCAGCCAGAGACTCTTTCCTTCTCATTACAGCACCTTGGACCCGGTGCAGCATCTGAGCGAGCCCGGGTCAGGGGCTGCGGTGGAGGGTCTGGTCTTCCGCTCGTGGCAGCGTCGCCTTATCAGCGTCCCCGGCCCTAGAAAGTGACAGCTGGCTGGCTTGTGTCAGCCCCTTGGGCACTCGCGTATCTCAGTCCAGAGAGTTTAAAATAGCAAATCTCTGAGGCCACACAATAGCTTGGGCTTATATGGGCTCCTGGGGGGGAAGGGGGAGCGACGGAGGGGGCCGGGGCCGGGGCTGCTGAAATAGCAGCTCACAAGTGTTGCATTCCTCACTGGGCGCCAGGCACATTCCTTGCGGCGCTGCCCGCCCCGGGGTGGGCGCTGGAGCCCCCTTAAAGCCTCCTGCCCCCAAAGAGCATTTCCCAGACACCTGCCGGCTTCCCCTCGGCTCCCTGGGATCTCACCGGTGCCCCACGGCAGAGGTAAGGCTGGGGCGGTGGGGTGCCCGCTCGCGGCGTAGGATGCTCAATGGAAGGGCAGATAAAGACCCAGAAGGGGTTTGGCTCAGGGTTAATGGTCCTCCCCAGCCGCTTGCACTGGGATGTATTTTTGCCATGAAGGCATTCCCACGGATAAAGCATCAGGACCCTCTCCAGGGGGTTGTGTTTGCAACTTGCCCAACGCCTTTTGAACCACCCCAATGTGTGCCAAGGCATCTGAGAAGGATTTTGGCTACCCTGGTGCCGGGGCAATCTCATAGATCCCTATTCCCTGTGTCTCTGGAGGGGACAAGAGGGATGCGGTGCCAGTGGGGGAGTCAGGTCAGCCTGGCCCTGGCTCACTGGCAACCCGTGGGGTGGGTTAGAGGTGGGATGCTCCCCTGCATGGTCTGACCTTGCCAAGCAGGAAGGGAGCAGCGACGTGACCCATGCTGGAGCAAATGCTGGGAAACGAGAGCTCCATGTCTGGGTAGCCTGGAGGAAAGCAGGGACTGCGGACTGTGGAGGATTAACTCAGCCCCAGAGGTTTGACCAGCCAGCCCTTAGGTAATGGAGAGGGGGATTTTAAGGATTGGGAGGGATATCTGGAGTATTTAATCCACAGCAAATGATGGGAGATTTTTCTTCAGTCAATAATATGTGCAATGATTCCTTTTTAACTCTGTAATACATCTGCTGGGTTCTCCTAATTCTTTCAAAACAAGATTTCAAAGCTTTAATGGAAAGGTTTATCTGTTTCTGTGCAGAGGATGGATAAACATTCCTAGAGCCACTTTCTGGTGTAACGTTAGTTTTTCTTGGGTACCCCCTTAACAGTCCTGGTTTTGTTGCTGTTCCTCAGCAAATGCTCTGTGGGATCTAGTGATGTATGAGAGAGGAGGTGAAAGGAAATGTAGAAATAAGCTTTCACAAATGCATGTTTGCGCTGTCGTGGCCAGGAGGGAGTCTCCACTCTTGTGTCGTGAGAGGACTACATGAAGTCCTAGGTCCTCAGAGGCCACATAAATGATTTGACCAAACTCTGGGGGCAGCAGGACCATGCCAAGCCTGGGGAAAAAGTAGGGCCAGGAATTGACGTTCGAGGGGGAGCAGAGATCGAGGGGATGGTGCTGGAGGGGGGTGCTTAGGGCCAAGCCCCAGATGCATCAGAGGGAAGGGAACGATGACGGCAGAAGCAGGCGGTGAACCCGAGGCAGACGGGGCTGAGTTCTGACTTCATTTGTCTCCAAAAAGCACCTTCTGAGTCATTGCTCGGAAGTGAGATTTGACAACCCCCCGGGAACCACGGGTATGCAGAGGCGCCCCTCCTGTAACGCGTCTTTCCCGTGCTTGCGGATTCCAGTCCTGGGTTCAGCATCTTGAATAAGCAATCCTGAAGCCTGTCGTACCCAACCCGGGTAATAAATGCTCAACAGATGTAGCCAGGACCAGTTGTTCCCAGACGCCCGACAGGAGGAGAAGTGAAGCGGCGCTGCTCTGGGAACAGGTGGTTCAGCACATGGAAGTTATTTCTAGAGCTGCCTTGCGTTGTCCTGCTGCATCTCAGCTTTGCCGAGGTCTGGCACGAACATGAGCGGTGGACAGGCTGTGCAGGGGCTTGGGCTGATGCTCAGGGCTACCCTGAGATGCCCAGGACTGGGGCTGATCATGAGGCTGGTCTGTGCAGACCTTGTGGTGGAGCATTAGGTGGAAGCCAGATGAGGTGGGACAATGAGTGAAGTCCTCCTGATCACGGCTGGGAGGGAGATGGGTGTGCTGGGAAGATGAGCATGGCTGTTTCCGCAGTTATTAGCCCTATTGCTAAACCAGGCTGTGAATTATTCCTTTTAGCTAACCTCAGTCTCAGGGCCAGGACCAGGAGAGAAATGCTCCTGCTGAGCCCAGATCGGCCCTTTCCAGAGCATGCTCTGCACTTGGAGGGCTGGGCTGGGAGGTCTCACTGAGATCTTGTGCTGTGGCTTGTGCAGGGCTGTAAATTTGAGATAACAGGACGTCCCTGCAAGTTTCTATATCCCAACTGAGCTAAGAATAGTCAGGAAGCAAAACAAGCTGAACGTTATAATTGGGTTATTTTCCTGTGCCCTGAGCAAACACAGCACCCTGAGATGGCTGTGGCAAGGGGAGCTGCGTGCCCTGGACATGGCTCCTGACAGCAGTTATCAGTGTTGCATGAGGCTGTGTCTAATCTCCTGCCTCCTGTTTGGGGTGAGCTGTGATCCTGGGACAGGAGGGGAGGGGGGAGCCTTATCTCTGCTGAGATAATGCTGTCACAGCCCGGCTGGGGACAGCTCAAAGCTCCAAGCGCTTTGGAGAGACGCAGCATCTCTATGCCCGTGTCTCGGGTGCTGGAGGACAGGCTGTGCTTGTCCTTATCTCAGCTCCTAACCCTTGTTTTTTCCAATCTGCCTTGAATTCTGCTAGATAACCAGGCATGTCGGACTCCGAAGAGGTCGCCGAAGAATATGAGCAGTAAGTGGTGTGTTTTTAAACACCCTTTCTTTCTCCTTATTCCCACTTTCCCACAGGGTCACAGTATTGCTTAGAGGTGCCGTTCGGGGAGCACCGGCTCTTGTCATTACCCCAGCACCCAGCATGAAATACCCCCACCCCGTGCCCATCTGCACCGCTGCTGTGATAGTGCCGAGACCCCCAGCAGTGGGGAGCTTTGCATTAGGAGATGTATCACATACATGGCAAGGAACAGTCCCTGCATTAAAAATGCTGCAGTCTAAATCAGTGAGATAGAGCTGGGAAAAGCTGATGTCATCAGTCTGTGGCTGCTGGGGCTACCGCCCCACATCCAGAGCAACCCCCAAGCCCAAAA